CCCCCGCCTGACTGCAATACAGCAAAGCACTGATTTCTGCATCAAAAAGAACTGCCTGTAGTCGTCAACTAGCTCATCTTTCAGAAGGAAACGTACCCTCCTTTGTAATGTTTTCATCTATTCAACAAGTGGGAGAAGCAGCAGTTTCCACCTTAAGGGAAATTCTCTTGCTCTCCCAGGATTGCGTTGGGTCTCTAAATTAATTCTGACTCCCTAGAAAATGAAGTGAATGAATGATACAGAAGTTAAGTTTCACTGTCTCTAGGATCTTAAATGTCAATTGACAGAGAATTAAACTCGCTACAAAGCCGGGGTGATGTGGGACGTCAACAGTCCTGATGCTGAAAGTGCGGCATCTCTGCACCGGTGCCAAATCAAATCTCAGAGACAGACTTTTAGCGGAAGTAGAAAAGGACAGCTTTATTGCTTTGCCAGGCAAAGAGGGACACAGCAGGCTCCTGCTTTGAAAAACTGTGTGTCCCCACCCGGGAGGATTTGATGAGGGGTTTATAACAAGCCTTCAAGGTGGGGCTGCTGATGAGATCAGGCCATGTGCAGGGTCTTAGGGAGTCGGGTTTCCTAACCTTGATGGGCTTCTCTGGCCCCTTTAATCTCACCTCAGGTGGTTTCTTGGCTACTCCTTTCTTGATTAGCAACTGTTCGAATTGCCCATTGGCACCCAGGGAAGGTCACGGAGGCTGCAGTCTGTTCCCTAGAAACAAGAAATGGGGGACAGAAAGGCTTTCGTGCCCAGGAGCCCATAGGCCCCCTGGTTTCATTCCCACCAGTGATGCTCTGTTTACCAAAGTCTACTTAGAAAGCACAGTCCACGTCACGTCCCTGGGCTGAGGAGGGTTCTAACTGCTTTTGAGGGGGGACATGCTGGGGACATTGTGATGCCCGTGGCTCTGGGCAGGCGGGGGGCCGCCCCACATTCATCCAGTAGTTGATGCAGCTCACAGGTAGCCCTGCCAGTCACCTGTCTAGTCCCCAAATCTGGTGGCCAGGTGAGTGGTGCCCGGATGGTGCGGAACACAATGGGGCAGAAGGGGCCTGGGGGGCATGGCACCAGATCCCCTCCCCCGACTCAGTCCCCTGGGAGCCCAGCCCACCTTCCCAGGACCTTCCTCGGGTGTTCCCTGAACATTCCCCTCACTCTCCTCTGTCTCTGTCTCTCTCTCTGTCTCTGTCTCTCTGTCTCCCCTGCCCCACCTTCCTCCCTGAACAAGCCCACCATCTCTGCCTCTCTCCCTGCAACCCCCGTGATGCCCTCCCCCTCCTCGGCCTCCCCTCCCCCTGCACCCCACGTCCTGCACTGGAATCCTATTCACCCCCACCATCTGCTTCTGCCTCTAAGGTCTAACCCTCAGGGGATCGCTGGTGCCACCGTGAGGGGTGCGTGTGCAGGTTAGGGTCCCGTCTCTGCAGGTGGGCACCCATCCATCGCCCAACGGGAGGCGGGAGCAGAGACGTCCAGCTCTGCAGGGGGCCGAGCGAGGCTGGACTGGAGCAGAGATGGGGCAGGCGTGGGGTTTCCTTCGTGATGACGGCCGTGCTCAGAAACGCGGAGTCGGGGCGAGGCTTTCGTGGACGGGGCAGTGGAGGGGTGGCCCCCGACCATGTTGGACAGTGGGCAGGACTCACACAGGCTGAGCGGCTGGGTCAGACCTGGCTCAGGACCCAAGCATGTGGAAGGGGTCGACCCTATGGACGGAAGCTCTGTGCAACGTTCCCACGAGTCCAGTGGTCAGGGTGGCCTCCCAGGGAAAAGGGCTGCGTTATGTGAATGTCATCATCATCAAACTCACTCCAAAGATCGTGGGAACCAGGCCCAGGCTGCCCCCCTCCCTAAACCGGGTGCACAGCCAACAGAGTCTGCAAGCGCATGCAGGTCCCAGGCTCCTGGGGGTACATCATGTGGAAGCACACCTGGGGCGTCACCGGGAGGATGGAGAGTCTGATGGACCAGCACCAAAGCCAGGATGCCCAGCACCACAGACTGGATGTGGGCAGAACACCCCGGCCGCAGAGAGAGCTTTCTCCCCCTTCCATGGAAAAAAACACCCGAGGCTAGAAGTGGGGATACACCAGCTACATTTTTTCCCTTTAAAAATAATTTTGATGCTGACATAGCAGAAAATGAAATCTAATTTCTTCTCTTTGGAACAGAGTCGTTGGAATTCCCAGGAAAATTCTTGGGCCATGAAAGTCTTTTGAAAGTGAGATTTTGGGCCGAAAAGGAATTTTAGTTAAAGCCCTGGAGCAAAATACTATCTTGCAGATAAAAGCTGGTTCCAATGCTCAAGGGATAGTGGATACCTCTCCGTTGGGTGAATGGCTTCCATCCAAAACAGAGCCAAACCTGAGACTCTGTGGCCACAAGATCCTAAATGCACCTAAGGCTACATGTTCTCATGCCTCCAGTTAAAGGGAAAGTGTGATGGGACCATCTAGTCACACCGACTGGTGGAAACAGCCCACAGGGAGCGGCATCACACATCTGAAGTTCCCCTCACCCCCCATTAAAACATAAAAGACAGTAAGAAACATTAGGAGACTTGAAAAGTAAAAAAGACGACCAGCCAGTATACCAGCCGTCACCGAAGAAAACAGCAGGCACCTTGACTATAAAGGCCTTAACCTTTTTCCTAAACACAGGCTTTTTCCTGTCATCAGGATTTTGCTGCTTCGGGCAGTTTGCTTACAGTCCATCACTGAACACTGTGATCCTGGCTCCTTTCAAAGTCACGGGCATTGAATCCACGTGCAAGGCTGTGGGCACCTCCCTGCTGCTGGATCCCTGGGTGCTCACAAGTGGTTGCTCCGTGCACCATGTTTCCAGAAATATCTCTGTGCCGAAGCGTTTTTCCAAATCTCTGAGTACAGACTTAGGACATACTCCCCAGAGTGGGGTTACGGAGCCCAGGGTATGGGGTAAACAGAAGCAGTGGGATCTCCTAATGCCCCATAGCAGGTGGCATGGGCCCAACGGTGGCCCCAAAAGATGTCCTTGTCCCCAGACCCTAAACCCGTGAGTGTGGCCTTTCCAGACAGGATTAAGCCAAGGACGGTGAGAGAAGGTGGCCTCTAAATGCAGCTAGTGTATCCTCGTGAGTGAGGCCTTGGGGACCTGGGGACAGACGCCCAGAGCAGGTGCACAGGGGAGGCCACAGAGACAGAGGCGGGGCCCCAAAGGGACGCGCCCACAAGCCTCTGAGCGCCAGGTGAGCGAGGCCTGGGGGTGGGGTCTCCCCGGTGCCCCCGGGCTGCCACACCTTCACCTAAGACCTCTGCCTCCAGGACCATGAGTAAATTTCCGATGTTTTAAGCCCTTCCCCACCCACCTCACCCCCTGCCCCGGGAAACCAATATAACCAGGTAGGAGACACCACTCACTTGGCTCAACATGTGGTCTTTGCAAAATTACAGAACCAAAGTCATAGTGAAATCTATTCCTAAAATGCCACTGCTCATGCCAGGCTGGTGCAGACCCAGGGAAACTGCAGAATGTGGGTTGTTTCACCAGGTCCAGGAAACTCGACCTTCAACCCACGAGTTAAGGTTGGAGGCGCAACAAAGGGTTGGATTTTCCTGCAGCTCAGAGATAAAACAGACCAAGCCCTGCGCCTCTGTGAGCCCAGGACAGATGACAAGTGTCACCGTGAGGCCCATGGTCCCATGGACGTGGCCTGGCTTTCTGGACGTAAGAAGCCAATCTGAACAGTCACTAACAGGAAACACCGGCCACCTGAAAGGACAGGCGAACCAGGGAGGGGTTTTTGCTCTAAGAATCGAGAGGCAAGTAGCGTATAAAAATATAAATCTTCTGGAACTAATGTTCCTTTAGATATGGTTTCTAATTTTAAGCACCAGAGCTTGATTATCGATTGCAATGTCTCTTTAAATGAACAGATTAAAACTTTCTCCATAAAAATGAACTGTAAAGAATTACGGATGCTCTCTGGGAACCGAGGCCCCATCTGACTCCCCGCACTGAGATCTCAGGCTGCAAGAGTCCCCCCCTCTGAGGGTGGGGACCTGGCTCCGTGCCCAGCCCACCTGGCAGCCGGATGGTGTTACCTACAGCTCTGCTGAAATCAGGAGGGAATGTGTTCATGCTTCCAATCTCCAAATATGGGTCATTTTAAAACCACTGCTTTTACTGAACGCCCAGCCCCAAATGTTCCCAGCTTGGTGTAATAACCACTGCTCTTCCTTTACAGAAGACTGTGGTCACCTTACTGCAGCCTTTAGGGGAAACTTCACCCCACCTCCAGTGGTGAAGATACAACCGTGTATCTCAGATTGGGACTCAAACCTCACCAAAACCCACAGTCTTTTAACTGAGATCTCACACCTGGTTTCAGGATTTAATGAAGCTCAGGTTCTTGAAGTCTCATCACAGAAAGCATTCAGTGATAGACAAAGTGATAGGTAACAAGTGGATTTATTTAGAGAGAAACACACTCCACAGAGTGTGGGCCACCTCAGAAGGTAAGAAAGGCACCAGGGTACGGGGTTGTCAGTTTTTACAGGGGTGGGTAATTTCATAGGCTAATGAGTGGGAGGAGTATTCCAGCTATTTTGGGGAAGGGGTGGGGATTTCCCAAAATTGGGCCACCACCCACTTTTTGACCTTTATGGTCTGGCCTTGGAACTGTCCTGGCGCCTGTGGGTGTGTCATTTAGCTTGCTGATGTGTTACAGTGAGCATATACTGAGGCTCAAGGTCTAGTGGAAGTCAACTTGTCTGCCATCTTGGACCCATTTGGTTCTAATCAGTTTATGTCATGTCCTTGGGCTACGTCATCCTTTTAAAAGTTGTGCCCTGCCCCTCTCCCTCCTGTTTCAAAGGTAGCGAGTAATAAACTCAGGAATATTTGTCCAACATAATCGTGGTAGCAGTGATGACGCTCCCGCATCTGCCGCCTCTGCTACTCCTGCAACAATGCTGAGACAGGGACACAGATCTGAGGCAGCAGCCATCCCCTGTCCAGCCCCCAGGACACTGCAAAGGGCTGAGAAGCTGCAAAACAAACTAGAAATTAGGTGACCAGGAGACATCATGAACATTGAGGGAAAGCAGAAGAGGGGCTAAGTGACAACAAAAGACACGGAGGTCACCTGGACCTGGTAGACTGACTCCCAAGTCCATGTTGCCTGCTTTGGGCATCACCCGGCTCACAATGGAACTGCCTGGCACACTGGCAACGCTGATGCCCGCTGCACCCAGACCAGTTCCATCCCGGCCTTGGGGGTCCTAGCAGCAGGAGGCTCCCAAAGGCCCCCGGATGAGCCCAGGGCACATGGCGTTGTACTCACAGCTGTGCCTCAGCCTGAGTCACCCAGCTGCACCGTGACCTTTCCCGGTGGGTGTGACTGTGCCTCCAGGTCACAGGCAAACCTACCCACGGACAAGGAAGGAAGTGAAGTAAGGATGGATTTGGTGATGTTCAGACCTCACTGTCATTTTGGACCCACACCTCCTCCCGGCGGCCGTGCCTCGGGGGTGAAAACGGCAGGCAGGGACCCCGACCACCCACAGTCCCTGCACCCGTGCCCGCGGTTCTCGGTCTCACGCCCCGGGCACACGGGCCGGCAGGTCTTGGGTGGGGCCTATCCTGGGACAGTCCCCGTCAGTCCTCGAGGTACAGAGATTGTCTCTCAGTTAAGGAAAACAGCCTTTTTCCAAGATCTCTCCCTCACTTATCTTTGGTATTTCAGTGATTGACAAACAGACAAAAATATATTTATTTAGGGATTATCTATATTGAAAACTAGACCTGGGACTTTTTTCTCTGTCAACACTGCAGTCATGTCAGCTGTTTGAATAAAAGGAGAGGCACTTTTCCATTCAGTCCAGAATGCTGAAAACTCTCCAGTTTGTATTCAGGGCGACATTGGGTTTTATCGATGGTGTTGGCTGAATAAGTTAAACTCCTACAGCCAGGCAAGGAGAAGGCTGATTGCCTCTTTATTGTAAAGGTTATTAGGAGGAGACCAGATATAGAATTTGTTTGTCTTTAGACTTCCCTGCAGAGTCAGAGCCATTCAGATACGTTCCAGAAGTTTTGCTCAAAGCCAGTCCATGGACAGCCTGAAGCACAGGGATGTCCCCTCTGGAATACTCATCTCATCGTTGGAAAAAGGGCTTTGTTATCGGTGGGGAATGTCCATTCCCCTGCTTCTCATGCCTCCAGAAATGTGCTCCCCTTCAACACTTTTGGACACTTACTCTTTGGGAAAATCACACACTAGATCCCAAGGGCAATTCTCCACTCCTTTCTGAGAGACAGGATGTGACTTACAGAAATGACCACAATTATTTTTTAAGTGAAGTTATGCAAATCTGATAGACTAAAGTAAACGTTTCATAAAACCAATGACTGTTTAAATTGTAGGACTAAACTGTTTGTATATAAATATTACCTTTTATATTCCACTTGAGTTTTATGTGGGTGAGCACATTACTTTAATGACCCACACTTAACGGAGGAGGAGCCGTTCCTCAATCCTCGCCAGCCAGATGGCTGCCTCTTCTTGCATGAGATTAGAAGATGTTTCTCACTCACCTCAATGCTTCTGAGGCAAATTAATATCGCCAGCTAAATTGCTTGTGTTTTTGGAATAAAATTTAAAGAGAATTTTTTAAGGCAATTGGTGTCACAGGTTCTCGGAGCAGACTGCTCTCTAGGTAGGCCTGCTGGTTTGAGCACTCGGTAATTAATGGAAAGAATTCTGTGTTAATTGACTGCTTCGGGAAAGGGAAATAGAATGACTCCTTATTAATCATGAAAGGAAATGTACGGCATGGAGGCACCACATTAATTGCTCTAACCGTGGAGAAATGTTAATTAATGAAAAGAATAATGATGTAAGAAATTAACTGCATAATGCTTGTGCTGATGGAGGCTGGATTTTAAGCATGTTATTTAGAGTGGAAACCACAAAATGTTGCCTTAAATAACAGATACACGGAAAGTTGTTCCACCCAAATTTACGAGGAAATGTCTGACAAGGCTCCTGTCACCTTTGCTGGCAGAAGCAAACACTCACCCAGAGCCTCATTTATGTCAAGGACCACGACCTCGTCCTCTGATCAGGGCTCCTGAAGTCAAATCACCCCCACAGCCAAACGAGGTCGTTCATGTCACCACAGTAGGTCCCGCCCACTGATGAGTTTGACAAAGGGGTGGGGAGGGAGAGTATTTTCCCCTAAACTGCAGTCAATTCAATTTCTGATATTTCCCAGCGAACATAAAGAAATATTCCGATTCACTTTGGAGACAGAGGTCTTTTTTTAAATCTGATTTTAAGTCCCTGAGAGAATATGTAGCTTCCCCTTCACCCGACAACTTGTTTTCCAGGAAAAGGATCCACGTTTATTCACGCGCAGACCCACCGACATCTGTCCCCCCGACGGCAGAGAGGGGCTCGGGGTCACCAGGGGTCACGAGGCCAAAGCCATGCCCAGTCCAGTGTGCTGCGATTCCCAGGCCAGCTCCCACCCCCCACCGCCAGCTGCACGATGGGGACAGTGACGCCTCGGGGACAACGGGGCAGAAAGGGCCCCCGTCTTCCCCCAGGTGAGGCCAGTGAGCCAGGGCGCTGACGCCCCTCTCCCCCCCCCAGGTGGAACGTGCTGGGGCTGCAGGGTGCACTGCTCTGCCACTTCATCGAGCCTGTGTACCTGCACAGCATCGTGGTGGGGAGCCTGCACCACACCGGCCACCTCTCCCGGGTCATGAGCCACAGGACCGAGGACATCGGCCAGCTGCCCGCCTCGTACCGGCACAACCGGCCCCTCCTCAGCGGTAAGAACAGGTCCTCAAACGCACACACCCCTCCGTCCACAGGCCCCGAGGCCCCCAGGGCAGGCTCTCCCAGTCTGGCCCGTGGCCATTTAAGACTCAGCGAGCAGAACTGCAGAGATCGGATACTTGAAAGGTCAGCGGGGTGCGGAGCATCTCCGGACGACGTTCCAGAGTGAAGGTGTAACAGGATGAGCCCCTCAGACATCACAGTGTCACTTTCAGGGCAGTGTCTGCGGTGCACGGCGAAATCCAGGCAATAAACACACGTGTCCAACAGGGCAGGGGGGACCCAGTGCCATAAGTCACCCCCACCTGATCCAGGAGCAAATTCCTGAATGTTCCCCCAGCACCAAACCTGGGAGGGGGATGCCGCCCCCAGGCCGCCGGGGTCAGCCTGGGGTCGTGAGGACCAGAAGTCACACAGCCGTGAACCCCTCTGGCTGCAGCTGACCTCTCAGCTCAGCGGGAGGGGGCATTGGGGAGGTAGCCCCACCAGCTGTGACCCCCGTAATTAACCCGGTAATCCACCGCGGCTCCCTCCTGGGCGGTGCCTTGTCTCTGAAGGGGCTGCAAGCTGTGATCTGCGGTGGGGGGCCCTGGGGGGTGGGCACGTGTAGACCCACAGCAATTGGCCCGTCCGGGGCTTAGACCAGCTCCCCCGAAAGAGGAGAGAGAAGATCAAAGAGCCAGTCAAGGGTTGTGGTAAAGAGTCAGGCCTAAGAGTTACTCCCAGGACCCTGAGATTGTTCTCAGTTAGAAAACCAGGGGCAACGATGGTGCCCACGGGGTGGCGGTAACTCGCGGGGACAGCTCTCAGCCAGGCCAGCCCCCAAGAGAACACATGTCCCCACTCCCTCAACCCTCCCACGAGAGTCACCAGCCAAGGGCAGCATCACGGACCCCAAAGCTCAGACAGGGCGGAAGAGGATGCTCCCAGTGGGGCTGGGACCGCCCAGGGCTCAGTGGCTATGCCCCAGGTTTTTTTACACACCAGAACGTGTTCCTAAAATCTAAGACCCTCTGCCAAATCCGGGGACCACGGCAGATTCCAGGGGCTTCCAGCATCCAGGGAGGGGACTCGGCAAACTACAGCGAGGCCATGGGAGCAGGTGTCGTGTGCCCATCCAGGACCACAGCCCCACCTTCCCTCCCCGTGACTCGGGCCGACCTGTCACGGCGGGGGTTCCCTCACCCCCGTCCTCACCATGAATGGTGCCTTCAGATCTGACCCAAAGCTGTGCCCATGGCTGTGGCGCCCTACGGCCTGAGCCCAGCAGGTGATGGCCACGTACAGCCTGTGGGTGGTTCTCCTGGGGGGGGTGGGTGCCCAGAGAGGCCTGATCTGCACGGTGCAGCTACTCACCCTCCACGAGTCCCCCGCAGAGAACGGCTCCACCATTCAGGGAAGGGACCTAACTAAACCCAGCAGCCACCCCCGTCAACGTCAAGATGAGGCACACACCCTGTCACACCAACCACAACAGCTGCTGTTACCTCCATTTATAAATGTAGAAATAGACTCACAGGAATTTAAGTGTGAAGATGCTCTATTTATCAACATGGAGCAAGGATTTGAACCCCGTTTAACCAGGAGGCCAAGTCCTCCCGACACACCCACTGTGACCCATGGCAACGGCACAATTTCTTAACCACACAAGAATTAACAACACAAACAAGACCAGCTGAAGAGGTGGCAACATCCACCTCGTAGGAGCTGGGGATGGGAGCCTGAGACCCACGCCCGTCTCCAAGGGGCTCAGTCCTGACTCACCATCGTCAGGTGAGGGATGGGAAGGCTTGCCTCAAATTCAACGTCTATGAAACCAGAGTCATTTTCTAAGCAGTCAATAATTTCAATAATTCTGATAAAATATCACTTTGGGCCTGTTTCAATGTCTTTCTTACACTTTCCCTTTTCTTCTTTCTCCTGTTCTTTCTTAAAATGTTGAAGATTAATGACTTCCTGTGGTTGAGCAGCAGAAACAGCTCTGCAGTGGCCCCCAAAGACCTAGAATTCCTGGTGTGGAGCTAAAAGCAAATGTTCAGTTCTTGGGTGTCTAAGTTAAATTTAATTTCCATCTATGTTGATGAATCAGGTGACAACTTTTCCATGTGTCCAGCTCCTTGGGTTGCCACTTGCTTCCCAGCACCAGGCTCTGCTTCCCCATGAGATGCTGCCGGGGCCCCTGGGCCCACCCACCCAGGGCCCTGAGAGGCCCCATGCAGCCGTCCAGTCCGTCCACTGTGGGACAGGAGGCTGGGAAAGGGCAGAGTGTGGATATGGGAGCAGCTGCTCAGGGGGCTGAATCCAGGGAAGGGGTCAGGAGGGGGGGTGGGGGCGGGCAGGGGGGCTCCCAGGCTGAACATCCTGCAGCACTGTGGCCGTGAACACACATGAGACCAAGGTCCTTCTCTACGTGACCTCAGTGGGAGCCGGGGTTGGGGGTGGAGCCAGCCCATCAGCTGCATGGGGAGTCGGGGGCATGGAGGGCATGTGGCCGAGGCCCCAGGATCAGTGCCCCTCCTCCCAGGCCACCATCCTGCATGGTTTAGCATCCTCGGCAGCCCCAGGACTCAGAAATACCCACTCCTGGTTTAACGCTCTGCGGTCCTGAAATTCAAACCAGGGCCCAGTTTCCAGTCCCCTCTGGGCTCCAGTCACCTTGCCGGGTCGGCGCCTTGCACCCTCAGAGCTCGCTTGTTTTCACTCCGTTTCGTATCTTGTCAGCCAGACTGTGACCCTGGCGTCTGCCCTGTGGGGAGTGGGCAGGCAGCAGATGCCCCGTAAACGCACGCTCTCAGCTGGCCTTTATGTGGCCCCATCTGTTCACCAGTCCACGTGACAAACATCCAGAGAAAGGGGGAAACGTGGGCAGAGTGTTATTACAGGACAGCCTTGCATTTAAAATCCTTGGAATCCAAGGCCCGGTGATGGCGCTCGGGCCAGCCGTCCACCCCGTCCCACCAGCATGGGAGCCGTTTCCCGCCCGCCCGGCCAGCAGCGCTCACGCCTGGCGCCCCGTCTCTCCCGGCAGGAGTGAGTCAGGCTGAGGCGCGGCAGCCTGGGAAGTCGCCCCACTTCAGCGTGAACTGGGTGGTGGGCACGGCGGACATGGAGGTCATCGACGCCACCACCGGGAAGCGGAGCTGCGGCCGCTCGTCCAGGCTCTGCAAGCACAGGCTCTCGGCCCGGTGGGCGCGGCTCTACGGCAAGGTCAGTGGGGCTGGACACGGGCGAGGCCCAGGGAGCGGCCGCTTGGGCAGAGCCAGGGTGACACGGGACACGTAAACCAGCCCCCGTGTCCCTGCCCGCCCCCCACCAACCCCAGGTGTGGCCCCTCTGAGTGGGGCCCCCGACCCACAGCAGGGTCTCATGCTGTGGCCCCAGAAATAGGTGGAAAGGGGCTCACTGGTGAACAGCTGTGGCCAGTGCAGCCCGTGAGAAAGTCCATAGAAACTTCGGAGTCCATGTCATTCCAGTTCAGACAGAAGGAAATGGATGCCCAGAAAAGTTAGGTGTTCCCCCAATTACACGGCAGTGAGTGTCAGGGACGGACTGGCTGGCCAGTAGCAGGTGCCGCCCCCCGCCGACCACTTCCCCCGCTCACCGCACCCCCGACCCTGGTGCACGGGTGGTGAAGCCAGGCCGGGTCCTGCCCCGCTGGACACAGGGGCCAGTCCCGGTCCTCCCGGTGGGCTAGCAGGCGACTCCGCTTGGGACGCTGCCTTCATTCCCACAGCCTCCTCAGCCTCACCACCCACGCCGATTTGAGCCCCTAATCCTCCTCGAAAAAGAAAAAAATTATGCACAGCTTGTGTTGTTAATAGCAGACAAGTTCTGTGTTTATTTTTTTCATTAATCATTCACACTTCTTGCGAAGCAAAGCCTCCCTAATTTCTACTGTTACTCTCTTTCTTTTTTTGGAATTTTATATGAAATTTTATTTATCAATAGATCAAATTAGAGAGAATAGATATTTTTCTTTGTTACTGAGGCAAAATTGACATATGAACAATGTATATATTTAATGTGCACAACTGGATATTTTGATACGTTGTGAAATGACCCCAGAATTGCACTAATTGACTCATGCAGCCCCTCCCATCATCCGTGTGGTGAGAGGACTTAACCTGAGATCCACCCTCTTGGCAAACTCCAAGTCCACGTGATGATCTCGCTGCTTTTCTGTTTAAAGAAAGAGAGAAGGAAAAGTGACCAGCAGGCCAGTGCCTGCTTGCCAGGCTTGAGCGGTCCTGCTGGTCGGGGCCCGTTCCCAGCGAGGGCTTACCCGTCCTCTCTCGTTCTGTCCCACAGCTGAGCACACGGATCCCAAGCCACGGAGACACGCCGTCCATGTACTGTGAGGCCAAGCTGGGGGCACGCACCTACCAGGCTGTCAAACAGCAGCTGTTCAGAGCATTCCAGAAGGCCGGCCTGGGCACCTGGGTGAGGAAGCCGCCGGAGCAAGACCAGTTCCTCCTAATGCTATGAGGCCCCGGGCCGGCCCTGCACAGCGGGCAAAGCCGTGTGTGGGTGTGGCGTGCCCTGACGGTGCTGATCTGTGCTGTGCATTCGTTTTCCTTTGGTGTTCAGAAACACACGCGTGTCTGAAGCTCAGATGAGCAACTAGCCTTGCGTTAGGGACATGCTGCTTCTCCGACGGCTGCTCCCAAGGTGCCAGGACCGAGATCGCCCACCACACCTGCCTACGCACAAACAGCTCTCCCTCCTCCTTGTGTCCAAGGGAATTTCCATTTGGGCCAGAGGGTCTGAGTGGATGCCTTGAAAAGCAGTGCCGAGGCTTGGCCGGTGAGAACCAACCAGGCCCATCCCCGATGCTTCCCTCCCCGCCACGCACCTCCTGAGCGAGGGGTTCCCACGAGCACAGCGTGTGTGAGACTTCAGGATAAGCCACAATTGAAGAGAAAAGCCATGGGCTCCTCCCCAAAGAAGCCAGTAAGGATGAGCTATCATGTTCATTACTATTTAAGTTTTTCACTCCACCTCCTTTCAAAACGATTTGAGACACATGATATTAAAGAACCCCTAAAAGAGGAACAGAGAGTGAGACCATTCTTGCAGAGAGCAAAGGAACAGTTTCCAAAGCACCCGGGGGCCAAAATTTAGGACATGAAGAAACCACCGCTACACACCCTGGTGACGAGGGTCCCAGATGCACAGCCCCAGGCCCCACGTCCATGGCTTGACGCAGCTGCTTCCCTGGCAGATGATGACCCGACCACATGGACAAGGTCTGAGCTGATAGGGTCCCCCCGAGGGAATCAATCAGGAAACCAAGTCCCAGACCAAGTCCTGCCTTTTTAACTGAGTTTTATCAGAAAGCAAGCACAGAAACTCACAGAACTGTCCCCTTAGGCCTGAGGGGCCTCCAGCTCTCTCATCTCGGTTCTCTGATCTCCATCCTGAACAATAAAAAATTCACTTAAAGCAGCTGCAAAAGTGCAAGAGGCAGAATTCTGCCCCCTTTAGGTTCCCCCGAGCACATGGGGCATCCAGGGTTGAGTGAGGGGCGGGGTCCTGACCCCCTGTCCACGCAGGAGGGTGGCACCCCCGTGACATCTCGAGTCCATCATATGCCTTGAATTGTTTCACCGCCGAGGACTCATTTCTGGCTCCATCATGCTGGTTAACCAGCCTCTCGTTCCTCCATCTAAAAGATGCGCATCTGAGATTCATCGTCCAGAATATAAATAGCAAAGCTCTGTAGCAGCCTGGGCACCTCACTTAACCCAAGAAAGGCAAGTGCAGCATCACAAAGATCTCATAACAGGGCAAAAGCAAAACAAAGTGAGTTGTAGGAATTGTCACAAGAGAACAAGAAGTAGAGATACTAAGTATGGAGAGAGAAACTTTTCCTGGGATTTAATATAAAGTCAAACTTACTCAAGTTCTTTTATAAGAGAAAATGGGCCGGGTATTTGACAACTTCTCCAGCATAAAGTTTCAAGAGAGATGAAAATGGTTTTGCAAATAGATGACTTGTATTAATCTTTCATACAAATTGAGGAAATAAAATCTTAATTCAGTACAAAAGCTAGGATCAAAAGGCCAGTTTATGTTAGTTTCTGATTATTTGACGTGCCATCAGAACAAAGCTCAGAGAACCAGAGGCCTCAGGGCTGGTTGTGACTCAGACACTCTGAGCCCCGTGTCTGCAGCCCTGATCTGAAAGCGGGAGGCACAGTCCAGTCCTGGCTGGAATCTGTGACCAAAAGCTCAGCTCACAGCACTCTGAGCTGTTGCTTGGAGACGTGGTCCATGCTTTGTATGAACGAGCTCCTACTACAGGGAGCAGACGGCAGGGAAGATGCGGGTAAGCCGACCCACAAAGGGGCACAGAGGACACTGCCCATGGGACCTGGTTCTAGGGGCTTAGAAGGCGCCCACCCACCCATGATGAGCACCCCACAGGGTTCGAGGCACTGGCTCTCCAGAACCACACAAACTTCCTCATGTATAAACATCTGCTCCTGGAGAAAGCCACCCCTAGCGCCCTGGTACCCATTAGCACCGGCGTGGGGACTTGTCTGTCGGGTCAGGAGGGCACTTCTCGGAGGGAGAGATGGATGAGAGAAGAGTCCCTAGGGCAGCAAGAAGTCCATTTCAGGGCCTGGAGCTTTGCCGCGAGTGAGTGGGAAACAGAGAGGGAGCTAGGGACGAGGGACCCCGGGCTCCGGGCACAGGCAGGTGGGGACGGGACAGGAGGGCTGGGACAGGCAGAGGCCAGAGGAGGGGGCCCCAGGCTCGAACCCGGCACCAGGGTAGCTGGAGGGCTGGGCTCAGGTCAGCCCGAAGCCCAGAGGTGCATCTCCCTTTGCTCCAGGCCCTCGGGAGCACCAGCACCACTTACGCAGGTCCACCTGCATCTTTCGATTAGAAAAATTAGGGGAATTCGAGTCCAGAGGAGCCCGCACACCTCCCCACCTGGGTCTCTGTGAGGAGAACAAACACTTGAGTCACCCTGAAATCAGGACGGAGCCATCAAAAGGGCCCCCCACCTGCCAAACCTGCCTCGACCACCATCCTGCGTCTCCGTGATTCACACTTGCCCTGTTCCGTGTTCGCATCCACCCTCCCACAATCTGCCCTCCCACTAACATCCAAATAAAGTCGGCAGCACCTCCATCTGCCTCCCAAGCCCACACCACTTCCCATCAGGGAGAAAAACATAAGCAACGTACAATTCCCAGCCTGGTCCTCCTGGCAGGACCCAGCCCTAGAGGGTCAGGAGGTCGGTGGCTCCGCTTGTCCCCTCCCAGCACGTGATCCCACAACGTGTGATAGCAAGTTACTGGATTTAGGATTATCTTTGGGTTTTGTTTTTGCTGAGCAAATGATTTGCGGGTCTATTTTGCAGATCTATAACTGTTGTTTCATTTTTGTTCCTTTCTAAGTCTGTATGTACCCATCTGGCCACTACAGTGTCTGATGTCTGCTGTTCCTCAGAAATGTTGACTTGAGTTGCTTTTCAAGGAAACACAGCTCATATTTTTCCCACATAATTTTTTTCACAGAATTCTGTTATCAATAAAGTTAAATGCTTTCTTTCTTTCTTTCTTTCTTTCTTTCTTTCTTTCTTTCTTTGGTATAGTGTTTATCACGTCTGGAGAGCCATAAATAGTAAATACACGGTGTATCAATGCCCAGAATATTTTGATGAAATCCTATTTTTAGACTAAAAATTTCAAGATGTGTCTATAGTATCTTGCTTAAAAAAATTTAAAAAGACATTTGAAACTTAAAGTAGACATTTTAATTTAGAGAAACTTCTATACCCATTTTTTAAGAAGCCATTCTAATGAAATCATCAAATTGGTCCAAAATACAATAAATAGCACTTTCTAATAAAACCAAAGGAAAGTTAAGAAAATCTCTGTTTATGTACCATGATTCGATGGCTGTGACCTCTTTTGGCAGAAGCCTCGTTAACACCCAGCAAAGCCGGGTGAACCCTGGCTGGTTTCCCTACCGCCCTCCCCATCCAGGAGCAGGGACCCACCGCCCCGCGCATGTCGAAAGGCTGTCCCAGCTGAGTCCTTGCGGGGGTCAGGGGTGGGGTGAAATACCGAAAGCTCTGTGATTCAGGAGGGACAGACCCGCGCTCTGAGGCCCCTCGGGGCACAGTGACGGGCACTCGCGGGGAGGGCGGTGGGGACGTCATGGCTGCCAGGTATCCGCCGCTGTCCGCGGTGCTGACTCACCCCCAGCTGCAGCACGGCTGCTTCTGGGAACGCGGGGACTCTGCCGGCTCCTGACAAGACTCCCCCACAAATTCTGAATCAGATCAAGTAAAGGATGGCGGAGGGTGAGGGGATGAGGAAGCGGAAACAAGAGACAGAGGAAGCAGCCATCGAGGGACGGCTCTGGAAAACCGCAGCGATGGGGCCACCGCCACCACGGCCCCAACCTACCTCTCCTTCTTTCTCGCATTTCCTCTCCCTGCCCTTCCTCCTCCTTTTTTCTTGGCTGACTCCCCATCCTAAATCCCTGGCTTCTGGTACAACCAAGCGTTAAGTCTCAGGCCCGTGTCCACCCCTGAGCCCCACTTCACTGACCTGAGGTCAGGCCTTTGCTCAGGACAAAGAGGTCCTGGCGTGTTCCTGTGACCTCTTGTCCAGAGGGACCTACCAGTCCCTTCAGCCCCCTGGAGCCTGTCCACCAAAAGGGACACTGATGCCACAGCTCTAGAAATTTAGACCAAACAATATCACTCCTGCAGTGACATGCAGGCAGCATCAATCCCTGGGGAAGGAAATACCTAGTTCTCAACTCATTTCAGAATCAAAGCTGGAGAGATGAAATATCCTCTAAAGATAAAGACAAATGATCTGGATTCTAGGGCCTCTTTTTACACAGGCACTAGATTTCTATCACTCTGCCGTGTAAGCATCAGTAGAAAAGGGAGAAAAAAAAACTTTCCCAGCAGTACCCAGTTAATTTTCAGCATTTGTTAAGCAAAATGAACTTAATAAATAGTAATTCTTAAGTGAAGGTATGTACATGAAAAGCATGATTGAATGGCAATATTGTACCAATCGATGTACATTTGTAATATTTGTAAAACAAAAATCCAAAACCTTAAAATATGAATTTACACGTTAATTTACCTCTAAGTTCTGTAAATTGCACTTCAGTGAAATCTGAGAAGTGAATGTTTCTGTTAAATGAATAAAAATATCAAGTACAATTGTGCTTTCCTGGGGTGTTGGGCCTTTTTCATCAAGCAGAGTTCTAGAGGTTCAGAGTCCACGGAGGATCTGCCCCCCATAAGGAAATGGCACAGTCCACTCCAAAACTTTTGTCTCCTTACAATGATTGTGCCTGTGTGTGGATGGCCCAGGTGCTGCCCTTATGGATTTACTGTCAGTGAACTACGAAGAGTATCCCAGGGCCGGGAGTGGAAGATGCCCCCATACCCCGAGTCAGCGTCTCAGTCCCTGGGACCTTCCCTCCGTTTTCTCATTGCTGCG